TCCCTCATCTGCAAATTACTGGGAACAGACATTCTGGTTTGAGTTTGTCATTAGTTCTTCCTCCCCAAACATCTTATCACTAGAAGGTACTAACATCTCTCCTCTTCAAACAGATTCACTGAGCTAAAGTTTCTGTTTTCTATTATTAATGTCATACCTGAAATTTAAATGGTAAAACTGTTAGGCCCAGAAGCAAGAATGAATGAGATAAACTACCTTGCATGTTTATCAAATTTACGACAGTCTGCAAATCATTTAGCTGTTTTTTGGTGTAAACTGATGGCTAAGAATGTATCTCAGTGACTGTAGTTAAAAATTTTAGTGCCCTGCAAAACTCACCAGGCAGCTGTGATAATCCATTTAATCCATGCAGATGAATCCTTTGTTAATGCCATTCACACTGATTGAGGACCCGAATATGCAGCACTTTTTTTTTTCCTTTTTAGGCAGCAGATCTTCTCTTTCCTCCTGTTAGTAGCTGGTCTATAAACTCTGTTCCATTCTGCTGTTGTTTTCCCCTCTGAACCTGTTTATATTAAAATATACGTTTGATGTACAAATATGAACAACTACTCAGTGATCACTGACGTATGTCACACTGCAGCAGCTTTTTGTCAGGGCTGCACTTTATTATCCCTAACCATATAGCATTTTATTTTATCAGCAATCCAAGCAAATTATTTCAAGGAAACTATATATGGGTGAAAGTATAGTTCAACACAGAAAAGGCACAAGATTTCACCTCAGAAAAGGTAAACCTTCACTCAGCATTTGAAATACTGAACAAAGACTACCTTGCATGATTTTCTTTTAAAGCTATCATAACCACCATTTTTGATGAAAGTATGAAAAAGATGCGACACTTTATATAGTAAAGATTTAATGGACTTTAAATAACAATCAGGACAACATTGGCTGCACTTTTAAGATCAGTCTTAGCGGTATCTTCTGCAAGCTGCACCGGACAGTTATCCAAGTATGCATCTGACAGACAGATCCTTTAGACAGCTACTTTGAGTGCATTTACCCATTTTGCTTAGGCTTTACATGCACAATTTGACTACACAATGAATATGTGTCACATCTGACTTAGGCCCACCTAACTATACAGTTTTATGTGCACATGGGTTGTAGCAATCTTTTTGTAAGCTCCAGAAATCCAAAGAAGGGGCCAGTTCCTGTGCTTTCACATATCTAGAATGGGAAAAAAGCTGAAATCCATATCCAGCAGAAAATTCACAGAGGGTATTCCAAACTGAGGACTCAGAGCTTGAACTTCTCCTTTAGCACAGCACAGTTTTTCATTAGCTTTTATTTTTTAGTGCTGAAGTCTTCCTGATCTGTGGAGGTTAATTTTAAGGAGACTGAACTCTGCCTAGAGTAAACAGACAGTGGATCCCTTCTTCAGGAGAAGTCCATTTAGTAAGCAGGGCAGTCAGTTACTGAAGAGGAAGCAAGGACATGAACCTACAGCAAACTGGCTGCTGACAGCTGTTCAACAAACAGCTATCTGTTCTTTGTCAAACAAAAGTATGCAAAAAAACCCATAATATTCCTGAAACAGTACTGTATTCCTTTCAATTAGTTAGTGTAATTAATGCCTGATAGCTAAATGATGTAACAGCTTTAAAAGCAGAGCTCATCCATAAAGAATATTAACTCCTATGTGTAAGCACAGCACATACTTACCCCACAGCAGGGAGAAAAGACTTGGTAAGCTAGCATGCACTCACTAATGAGTAAAAATCCTATGGACAGCTAATAAATACTGAAAGTTCACAACCTACATGTACTGTACAGTAATCAGTTTGTTTGCCAAATCCTTAGTCTCTTTCTGTGTCCTAGTTTTCCATCTGTAAAAAGAAAGAAAGAAAAAAGGAATAACATCACTTTCCTGCCTCGCTGATTATTATGGTAATAATATAAGCAAGAGTGTGAGGCAATAAAATAGTGTAGGGAGCAATTGCCTCAGATAGAAAATACAAGATTGGTCGGAGTAGTTATTCTGTAGTTACAGATCAGTCTGTAGTTAGTCTCTACAGAAATCTGTTCTTATTGCTCACTGCTCATCATTTAACTACTCAGGTAGCTTCTATCTTGAAAATGGAGAAGCAATGGGAATTTGGTACAAAGTTTGCTTTGCATTTGTGGAGAATGTTTTGCCTTTTCAGTGAAAATCCATTCAGATCCAATCTGAATGATTGTTGACACAGATTTAAGTCATATTTAATGTGTGAACAGAAGATTTAAACCACTGAGCTTGTTATTTTATCATGACTATCTAAATCTTTAAATGACCTCATTGCTGGATGAGCTTCCTATAGTTTAAAGTATTTGGCAGCCAGTGCAAGAACATAAGGACTACCAAGTTATGTAAGTATGTCTAACTGATCTCATGTTTTACATTTTGTAGTGATCAAAATGGTTGCCTTCATAGAATACTTACCTAATTGAAAAGAAGATACAAATAACCCCAGGACAACCACAGAAATAGGTTTTATGTATATGATTAACTTATTGGTTTTAAGTATGAGAACATAATCTGTTTTCCACTGGACTTCTGTCTCATTTATGATGCACCTGTCCCATACTCTTCACCTTTTTCTCTAAAAATCTAAGTCCATTCCTCATTTTACAGTACCATATAAAACCTTGCACCTTATTAATTTCACCGTAGTAATTTCACACAAGTGCAGTGTCTCCCACAAATAAAAACCTATCTGTAAAGAAATCAGACCTTTGTTTTAGCATAGAGACTTGAGGAAACAAAGCAGAAATTAACTATCAAAGCTATGAAAAAGCCAAATTCTTACATTTGCATTTTTCACTTGTTTTCTGAATTTGAGGTTGACCTCTCTGCCCTTCCTGCACTGCCTTGCCTTTCTTTTTTTTTCTTTTTTTTTGGCAAAATTTGGTAAAACTCTTCCACAGGATGATGCAGTTACATAATTTCACACAACACATGCTGAGCCTCCATGTTTTGCCAGGGCAAGACTGTCTCTCTTAGTTCAAAGCTTTTTGAAGATACCATTCCCTGCTGCAATATCATCAGTACAGTCCAGATCAAAGGTTCATAAACCTCTTCTGGATGGGTGCTATTAACTACAGCAGCAAGAAGCAGCAGAAAGAGTATCCATGGCAGCTCTTGTCTTTTCCAGCTACCTGCTGCTTTAAGTCACTTATCTGTCCATGCATAGAGATATGCTCTGTGCTTTCCTATAGTGTGACGAACAGAGTAACATTATTTGGCATTTCACATGCAAGTAACATGCACACTTAGCGGCAAGTTCCTTAGGCTCAGAAGTCAGTGAATCAGTACTGAGTTAAGACTGGAGTGAAGAGGACTTTACTAAAATGCTCTTCTATTTCCCCTGTAAGTTTTCTCCTATCTTGGCTTTCAACTTGCTGACTTCTTGCTGAGAAATTTCCACCCAGGTATTCATCATTTGACAGCTGACTCTGTATCTGTTTATCATAGCAGCACTTTATTCACTACGTCTTCAGGATTTATTTCGCCCTTCAGTGTTTGGTCTGCTTTCCTCTACTTCTCTTTCATTTTGCTTTTCCAGTATTTCTTTGCTCTTGTATTTAAGGACTCTCTTTTAGGTATCCTGTTCTGTACTGAATGAGAACTATATTATTCATCTTGCATCTGAAATCACATCATTTCCAAATACTTTCCACTTTCTTCCACTATAATCTTTCTCTCTTTTTTTTTTTTCTTCTAATTATGTTGTCTCAGAGAACTTTGCAGCTTTTATTTTCACATTTTTGCTAATGATGCTTTGTTGTCCTCTGTCTAACACCACTTCTCTAAAACTAAACTTTAGTTTAACTCTAGGAAGGCTGAATCCACTGCTGCTCTCTGATGATCACTATGTCCTCATAGCTTGGACTGATGACCCACATTTGTGTTGATTCACACAAGACTGAGCTGGTATTTTTTTTCCTGCCAGAAAAGCAAGATCCAGTTTTATTCATGCATGCCTTTCCAGCACAGTAGTGTTTGCAAGAAGTTGAACAGTGAGCAAGTTTAAATGCTTTCCACAATTCAGGCTGCAATTTGATTCACAAAAATGTATTTCACCATTGGTGTTTTCAATTCCTGGCTACTGTTTCCAACTTTGGCACAGAAGTCAGGCATTATAACAAGTAAGGTCAGCTCAGGTACTGAGCAGCTTTAAGCGCTTGTTGGTTATAAGGAATTGCAGACCTTATCTTTGTCCTTGTGTTAAAAAAGCACCGTTCATCCTGTGTTAAAAAAGCACCGTTCCTATTGACAGGTTTAGGAACCTGATAAATAATATTGATCAATTGAGTGATCTTTCCACAGGGGAAACGATCTCCTCTGATCTCTGCCGGTGATGATCAACCCTGCTTGAAAACGAGACATTTTTTCCCTTCTCTCACCAGCTGCCAACTTGCTGCCGCGGCCGCTCGGGGTTTAGAGCCAAGCCGAGCACGTCCTTCCCGCGGTACACGCCCGAGCCGGGGCAGAAACGTCCCGCCGGGGCAGCGGGAGCAGCTCCTCCGTGTGCGCTCCGCGGGTAGGACGAGGAGCGCGGCCGCAAGGCAGCCCCGGCCACCGCGGGCTGCGGCCCC